AATGGCACTCATAATGAGTTTCGAGAAAAACAGATTTCAGTTATTAATGGTTCAGCACTTCCGCCGCCGGCCGCATACAGTAGGACTAAGTCGACGACAATTAAGTCATTGAATAGCAATAGAAACCGTAGTACAGTTCCCGTCGAGGCCGAGGTTTACCCCCAAATATTGTCAAACAATCACAAAACCATTACATCTATTAGTGGCACTAATGGGTCGCATGTATTAAATAATAATAAAAAGTCCGAAACAATGACTGCTATTAAAGGCATATTAAAGTCAAAAGCGAGCGATAGTGCGGCCAATGGTGTCATTAGGCATAAGAGTAATCAATTTGACAGTAAATGTAATGCAATAATAAATGTGAATAATTTGTCGGCACATAAAACGCATAATCAAGACTTGATTGGTGGCGATGCTGTCAATACAGATGCCAGTCCTCGAAGAAAGAGTTCTGGCGTTCAGTTTGATATCCAGAGCACCAAAGAAAGCACGAGACCTGTGCTCAACGCCAACCCTATTGTAAGTGCTTCTCCTACTATATACCTATTAATAGTATTATATTCTGTAAGAATGTTCTATACATTGTCGTCAATTATATTAATTATTAATATGGTTTTGTGACGATTACTTGATTTTTGTTTTCACACAGTTTTAGTGTTTGAAAATGTGCTTAAAATGTAAATTATTTTTATTGTTAATGAATTGAATTTTAAACACATCCGTCAACACAATGGTAAGAATTTACACTAAATTAACACTTTTTCATTAAAATATTAGACTTAGTTATGGGTTATTAATACACATTTGAAGCAAAAATCAATAATCTATGAAAATGTATGTCAAGTGTAAGAATATTCTGTATTTTGTGTGTTTTTGCTGATAATGTGCTAATTCTTGTGCCGACAAAAGCGTGGCTTAACGTCAATATCGGCGGCCCGTCGGGAGTCATCCAACTCGAGCTCCAGTCTCTCGATAATCCAGTCGACAGTGCCGGCGGCCAACGCCGTCCTCACCTATGACTTCCCGAAGTCGTCGCAACGGATGAGTGATTTGCGAAAGATTTTGAATCCGGAGATCGAAAAAGAGGATTCCCTGAAGAAGTTGGGCGAACGGCTCGTACATTGCGATTGCTTTGAACTCAATCTGAATAACGCGGCCAAGATTATCACCGCACTGGTGCTCGTGGCCACTTTGATACTGGTGCTCAGGGCACTTTACTTCAATGTGTTTTAGTGCAAATACCTATGTATAAATATATATGCATTCATCGAAATATGTACTGTAAACAAATTTATATTTTATGACAATTCACTGGGATTCCTATATTTTGTTATAATATTACTGATTACTGAATACAAATATCTTGACAAATAGTAAGAAAGTATTCATCTTTTAAAAGCCATCACCGATTAGTATTGTATAATATAATATTTATAGATAAGAGTATGTATAGTACAGTATTAATAAATTATTATACTGAATAATATTGTTAAATAAATTTTAAGAAAATTCGTGATTTTTTAAATAAATTAAAATAAAAGTAAATATATTTTTAATGCAAAAGTTGTGATTTAATTTATTGATTTAATTTCTACTGATGTTAGAAATTTGATTGTGTGGACCCAACCAATGTTGAACAACTGTGTGGTTAATATTTTGCAGCATAATACATAACATTCATTATTCAATGTATTAATTTTTATATTCATTATTCATGTGGTCATGAATTGTGTTTATATAGAGTTTCTAATCATTGGATGCAAACCGAGAATATGATTGATTGCAATAATGAGAGTTAAGATCCAATTCATTCATTGCGTGTGATTTTATGCTCAAAATTCAGTCAAAAGACTTTTGGTTTGATTGTAATCCTTGGAAATGCAGTTTTCTGTACCCAACCTATTAGTGTTCATTTGATTAAAGCAGCGATTTTTGTTAATTGAATTAACATTTTTTGCTTTTATTAGCTAAAGTGTGACTAAATGGCAAAATGTACCGGAAATTTGAAAACATGTTTGCAAAAATAGTTTATCTAATGGACATGGTTATTAATATTAATACTCACATTATAACATATTGTAATAGTAATACCAGTTCATAATAATGCAAATATAAATTCTTTATGTTTATTGCAAAATTCTTAATTAATAATTATGCTATATCAATTGTTAAGCTAATAATTTTTTTAATAATAAATACCGTACTATATATTGTTCGACCTTATATAATATTATTAATAATATTATTGATACAGTTGTATAATATTATTAATTATTTGTAAACAATTATAAAAATGATTTTAACAGTTAAGCGTAACAATTTATATTTTTGTAAACAAGTTTATTAATTAAAATTCAATGACAATGATTAAGTTGCTAATTTTAATGGGATAATGGTTTTAATTTAGTAGTAATTTTATAACTAATTAGATGTGCGATAAATATCTTGATAGCATAAAATTAATTCTTTACTTTTAAGCATTATTACATGTTATTTGTTAAATGAGAAAACTAAAAATTTTTAATTAAATAAATATAAATTTTCGTAATTATTAAATAATTTATTAGAATATAAAGTCACTACAGAAATTTAGAAATTTAGTATTTAGAAATTAAGACATGGACTCAAAATTGATTCCAGACCTGGGTCAATAATTTTAGATACACTAATTCCATGGATATACTTATAGGTGAATTGCAAACTATCTTTATAACCGGTGATCATTTGACATACCCTTACAGACTATTAAATCCAATGTTTTAAAGGAAAAACTTATTTAAAGAAAATTTATTTTAAACAAATTGTTTAAATAATCAAGCTTATTCTTGAATGACGTTTATTGATTATGTAATAGTAATTAATAAACTGTCATTGCTTATCAAAATAATAAATTAATTGTTATGAATTTTATGTTTACTCAATAATAAGAATTATAATGTTAATTCTATGTGAATCCATATTTTATTCTTACATTTACTGAACTAGTAAAAACTAGTTTGCATTAAAATATAAACTTATGCAACTTTTAAAATTAATTATATTTAACATTTGTACGACATTGTGTTTCAAAATGCATGGTTGATGTTGGAAAGCTATTCTACTAAAACTATAATCAACTTTTTTTTATTAAAACAAAATTACGGTTAAAAAATGTATAGAATTTTTTTTGCACTAAGAATCTAAAGAAATTTATAATTAATATGAAACACGGAATATGACATGTATTGGATATTAGTTACAATTGCACTGTTATTACCAGCAAATAATTCACTGGCGGTTGTATTGCACGAAGTTTTTGGTGATTTCAAAATCTCATCTATAAATAGACCGACAAATGAATCGATAAAATCCGATATGAAATCAATTTTTTATTTTACGATACGTTGTGTCGATTGCCATCAAATTACTCGTGGAAACACTTTTTATTGCTTTTTGCAATTTTCCAAAAAATGAGTTATGGTTTTGAATGAATGAATCTTAAGATATAGATTTTTTTAATGAGAAAAACTGAGTACTAAGCTATGAAATGCACTGTTATTTGTATTTAAAAATTGGTACAATCAAAATGAATTATTAATTTCCTATATTCGAGCACTAAATCAATACAAAGTTATTAATCCAAAGGGTAGTAATTTGTTTTAAACAAAATAATAGCATAAAAAAGCGAGACATAAATGTATTCAAAGGTGTGTTACCAATAAATGGGTGGACACCACAACTAGCTTTCCTTTAGCTCTCATTAATCATAAATTACAATAATTTTGTTATATGTATAAAAAAATTTATTCATTTGATTAGAATTCTCATTAGAGACGAGAAATTCACACACAAAACGCTTTTCCCAGTATTTGTATTAGATTTCTATATGTGTTTATAATTACTATAATTAGTGTAAATTTTTAACACAAATTGATTCATTATTTGGTATCATGTTTTGCAGTAAGCGATTTTTAAAACATTTTTGTGTGAATATTTAATGCATTATTTGCTGTAATTAAATATAATTAGCAATTAGATTGGATTGGATTTGAGTTAATTGTCGCTATATTTGGATAATTTCTTCGTAAAGAGTACACAAAATTGAGTACAGAATTGGTGTGATATATGAGTGAATTGATCGCAAGGTTTGTCCATAAATTAATAACTTATAAAGTGCTTTAAAAGTGTTTAAATAATTATCTATCAAAAAAAATTGAACTCATAACTGATTATTTATTTAATGTAAAAGTCTCGTCGGATTAAATATTGAACTTTTTATCTTAATTAGGATTTTAATCGTTATAACATTATTGTATATTATGAGGGATAATATGATAAACAAATTAAAACAAGTGAAAAATTAATTAATAAGAATTGGATTTTAAAGTTAAGCAATATTTAAGGATAAATAACTTATTTTTAAAAGACAATAAATTTTTTAAACTTAAGTTATGTTAGATTTGTTTGATTTTTAGCTATAATAATGTAAATGTACATTATACTTTTAAAAATAAAAATTAAAAACATTTATTACTTTTACCATATTTTCTATTATAGTTCAATAAATAAAAACAAATTCTTGTCATATCTAATAAGGAAAAGAAATTTGCAATAAATTACAATAAATTGTATAATAAAGTCATAATCCATGCATAATGTGATCGTATATTCCATATACAGAGACATCAATATAAAGTACAAACAAAAACCTTATGACAAGACATGTGTACTACACTTAACACACCACTTGATTGACGTTTATTACAACTGATTAGATATAAAGTTCATTAATAATAATAATTTTATGGCATAACGAGGCGGGCATTGAGTGGTAGTCGCAGATATATTTGAGTAAAATTTTAAAATAAAACAAACTTTTCGTAGTCTTAAACAGCAGTAAAAATTCATTTGCATTTGGATTTCAAGCAAATTCTGGCGATTCTGTAACAGAATCGGTGCCTCAAACGTAACGTTATTACTGTGTGGCCCAATATACTAGATAAATATTGGCGTCATAAAAGTGTGTGTATGTCGAAATTTTAAAATTAACCTAGCTACATGTTCCGAGTGCTAACATAGTTTGCCTTATGCCATAATAGCCATTAAATCGGTGTTTGAATTGGTTTTCATACTGAAAAACAAAGTCCAGAGACGAGTGTATAATAAGCGATGGCAACGAACGGACCCATTAGTGGCCACAACTCCGGTGGCATTCAGTGCTGTAAAGCCATTCATTTGCCATTACTTACGGGTAATTAATTTTTTTGTGATACCATTTGAGATGAAAAGTTGGCTGAAAATTGGATTTTCATTTCTTTTCGATACGTTTGGCCGAAGACTTGTACCAAATAACGATGGCTTACGGCTATTGGAGGAGCAATAAGTGTGACCAGAATTCCGTGTTTGACGTCTTTTTTCGCCGGAATCCCTTCGGCGGTGAGTTCACTGTATTCGCCGGACTCGAGGATGTCGTCAAATTCCTGCACGGATTCCGATTCCTACCCGACGGTAAGGACAGTTCATTAGGGGAACTGGTGTTTGACTTATGTCTTGGGTAATAAGTTATATTTTGTGTCCACTTTCTATAGATATTGAATATTTGCGCAAAATTTTACCGAAACATGTGGAGGAAGAGTTCTTCGAGTATTTGTCGAACATATCGGCCAAAGACATCACACTTTACGCCATTCCCGAGGGTTCGGTTGTATTCCCAAAAGTACCGCTTATGAGGATTGAAGGCCCGCTCCCTATCGCACAACTACTCGAGACCACAATATTAACATTAGTCAACTACGCCAGGTCTCTAATATCTACTCACATACCTGTCCCTCACTCACTGCCTCATCTGTTTTGCTATGAAAATTAAAAATAAATTTAAAAATTCATACGAATTATGAATTAATTTGTCCGACAGTCTCATCACTACAAACGCCACAAGATATCGGATAGCATTGGATGGAAGGGATATTCAACTCTTCGAGTTCGGTCTCCGCAGGGCTCAAGGCATCGACGGTATGACCAGATATGCGACCATTTGTTTGGCTAATAAACTAATTGAATTAAATTGTTGTCTCTATTTTAGGCGGACTTTCAGGTTTGCAAACCCTTTCTCTGATAATAAGTTGTTTTATTGAATTGATTTCATAACTCAAAGTGAAAATAAACTGAAAATAGTTTATGGTTTATACAAATCAGTTAAATTGTAAGTGTATTACAAATAGCCTCCAGATATGCATATATGGGAGGCTTCGATGGCACCAGTAATGTATTGGCCGGTAAGATGTATGGCATACCACTGAAGGGAACTCACGCACACTCTTTCGTGATGTCCTATTCATCTGTCGATGATTTAAACATTAGAGTCAGTATTAATGAATTATTTTTAAATGATAACAGTATTCGTAATACATTTTGACATTTGATTAGATTTTGGCGAACAAGACGACCGGAGAGAAAGTGGATTTTGTGGACCTGTGCCTCAAATACCAGAAAGAGTTGTCCGATTTATTGGATGTGCTGCAGTCGGAGTGCAGTTCCAGTGAATTTGTATGATATTACATGTTATCAGCGATGAGTTGTTGTGATATTAATTAACCGAAAACTATATTTGTCTTGAAATGAAGGCCGCTTTCATCGCTTACGCCCTTTCATTCCCGGATTCATTTCTGGCATTAGTGGACACATACGATGTCATTAGGTATGACACTTACCGCCCATTTTAGTGGTCATTAATTTTTGGTCTTAAACTATTAAAAATAATTGCCGTATAATCCAGGAGCGGATTACTTAACTTCAGTGCAGTGGCGTTAGCGCTCAACCAACTGGGATACCGGGCCATAGGGGTGCGCATAGACTCGGGTGATTTGGCCTATCAATCGCTGGTGGCGTACGAGAAGTTCCGCACTATTGGCGACAAGTATTCGCTGGACTGGTTCCCGGAGCTGACAATCGTCGCCAGCAATGACATCAACGAAGACACCATCATATCGTTGAAGGAGCAAAAGCATGGCATCAATGCGTTCGGAATCGGCACACATCTGGTCACCTGCGAGAGACAACCGGCGCTCGGCTGTGTCTATAAGGTTTGGGCAGACATTTGAGTGGGAAATACATTTCAGGCGTTAATCGATTTGATTATCTGATGGCATAGTTAGTAGAGATCAATGGTCACCCGTGTATTAAAATCAGTTTAGATGTGGAGAAAGTGACGGTTCCCGGCAGGAAGAGTGTGTTCCGGCTGTACGGCAAAGAGGACTATGCGTTGCTGGACCTGATGCAGGGCGCCGAAGAGCCGGCCCCCAAAGCCCAGTCCAAAGTGCTGTGTAGACACCCGTTCCAGGAATCCAAGAGGTGTTACGCCACGCCATCCAAAGTGGAGCCGTTGTTAAAGATTTGGTGGCAAAACGGAAAAGTAATTATCATTTGCAGTGACTTTTGATTTAATACTCGCAAAGAATATTCTGTTTTTATACTGAGTTTATACTGTGAAATGAAAATTAACGCCGAGTTTGGTGTTTAGGTTCAGCAGAAAATGCCGGACTTGGAAGAGATCCGGAGTCACGTCCAGAACTCGCTGAACACATTGCGTGCGGACATCAAACGAAATTTGAATCCAACCCCATATAAAGTGTCGGTGACCGACAGTCTGTACCAATTTATGCACAATCTATGGCTGGAAAATGCACCGGTGGGTGAACTCAATTAGACTGTTCATTGTCTAGTGTTTCGAAAAACTACAATTCCATTCAATTATAGCCTACAATATACTGTAGAATATAACAAATATTTTGTTTAAGTTTCTATTTTTGTTAATTAAACACATTTTTAAGTGTTATATTTTGCGAGAATTTTATCTTTAAGTTAAGAATTATATTTTATATGCAATATGTTATGTATTAAAGCATTGATTTTTATAAATATTTGTCATAGTATTATAGGAATTAAATAGATTTATAGCACTCTTTATTAGCCATAAAAACACGAATGATTTGTGAGGTGTAGGCGCTCTACCTCTCAACCCACACCTCCGCATATTTTTTTATAAATATTTGTCATAGTATTATAGGAATTAAATAGATTTATAGCACTCTTTATTAGCCATAAAAACACGAATGATTTGTGAGGTGTAGGCGCTCTACTTCTCAACCCACACCTCCGCATAATTACTCCAAATCCGTCCATAGAATCGAATAAATATTTACAACAAATAAATATATTTTATGCAAACTTTATTTGTCGGATGAGACGGTTGTTATAATTATATATTAATTTATTTTTTGATTAAAACATATAAATTAGAAATAGATTCTGAAATATATATATATCATTGATTAGTATATCATTAGAATTTAGAGTATTTAACAGATTATAACAATTATAATTGTGAACATTGCGGTTACAACGACTGGATAATCGCATAAACAAAGTTATGTACCCGATCAATTGTAAGGGTTAATAGATAATAAGTACAAACTCGATGTCCAAAAATCGATTGTAAAAGTATTTTTGGTTAAAAGTCTTATTTCTTTCGTTTTTTACTGGCGTTTGAGATTAGAAGCGGAAAAAGTCTGACTAATCGTAGAGTTTTTGTGACAAAAGTGTTTTTTATATCACTTTAGGATTAGTGGTTACGAGTATATCAATGACTATCAAAATATGAATCAATTTAAAGCTTTATTTTGTGACTTTAAAACACATTCGCATGGAATGTAAGCTCTGTTTTAGTTGAAGACCAGATCATTGGGTGCTTTGCTTTGTTTTTGTAGACAACTCTACGAATAGACAGACTTTTTCTTACAAAATATTTTTGCCTTTAAAGAATACTTTAGAAATAGTATAAAAAAATTAATAATTAATTCATTTGTCAATCCATAAGTCATTATAAATTATATACGAATTATATATTATATATTTTCTATGTTATAATTACTTGTTTCTAATATGTCGTTAAATTAATTAAATTAAAAAATAATATATTAATTAATAATAAAACAAATGGTTATACCGTATAAATAAAAATAAAATCACAAAAACCAAATTAATCACAAAATCGCTTATAAACCGGTAATTAATATCATATTATAAATACTGTTAACAACTCAATCGGATTCGCACTCAAAGCTTCGGTCATGTTTTGGTAAACTATTGCGGATTTCGTCCAACTTTTGCAACTCATTGCTGACTAGTTGTGAATAGTGCTGACGCTTCAGCTTAACGGTGCGATACGGGAATGGATTCAACTCACAGAACGCTATGTAACACAACTGTCGCACATCGATGTGCCGCTCCCCTAACGTCCGCAGCAATTGGTTGATGGCCACCGAGTCCCTCATTTTGACGATCACCTCCTCATGCATTTTGAGGAACGATAGGGCGAAACGGAACAACACTTTGTTGCCCTCGTATAGGAATACGTCCCAAATCCTGAGGTACACGTCGACCGGTATGTTGTCCACGAAGGCCGTCAGGAACCAACTGAATAGCGACAGTTCGATGCCCTGCTGTTCCAAGTGTTGGTACAGTTTGGGCAGCTTTTCAGACAATAGGTGTCTCAATACGTACTGATCCACGTGTGCGCCTGAAGAATGCCAATGGGTTTTGTCACAAACATAACGCATACTATCAATGCAGTGGTCACTCACCCAATAGGTTGCGACCGAAGTAGTCGTTGGGCATAATTGTCTCAACGATGGCCACCAAACACCAGAAGGCGTCCTCTTCGGGCATAAAGAGTAGGGCGACGGCAGCCAAACGGTTCAGACCCTGACAGTAGCCGACGGCCTGATTGTGGCGACTGAAGGCGGTCAACACCCGTCGCAAACGGGCCGTACCGTCCGACTCGAGACTCTCGAAGTGTTTGTTTTGCGGCAAAGTTCTCAATAAGTCTAATTCAATTTGTTTGGCCGACGGGTCCAACCCTTTAGACCCTGGGCTCTGGTTTTGCTTGAATAGCGTCGAGTAATAGTTGGCGCCGCACTCAGACATCTTGTGTTTGACGCGCATATAGATAATACAGCGCCATATTTTGCACCGGTATTCCTGGGGTATGCCTGTCCTCAGCATCGCCTTCAACTCCTGCGT